TGGGATCTCAGCAATTCCCTCCCCATTACCCAACACAACCCTCCAACCCTTCCCTCCCTCCCCACCAACCACTGACCCCTGCACGTCTGAAATACGAGGAAAAACCGCCCTAAACACCCCAGCGAGCAGAATTTGGGGGAATTTGTGGGATTTCAGTGGCACCTACTCTCTTTGTGGGGCTGGAAGCGCTCGGAGTGAACCCAAGTGGAGGAGCAGCCCCGAGCCCTCACCCGGCCGTAGTAGAGCTCCGTGAAATTCTCTGTTTCTTGTGAGAGGTTGCAGAAGAGCYGAGTGATGCTCTGGCACTCACGCTTGCTGAGCCAGGATTTCTCTCCATACCTGAGGAAAAAATGAAATTTGGGGTTTGTTTGGTTGAACAAAATCAGAGGAAAACGGAATAGAGAGAAGGAATTTGTTGAAGGCAAGAGTTGGTCAGAAATGCTACAAAATTGGCAGCTGAAGATATCAAATATTTCCTTAATTGAGCATCATCTCCCTGTCCTTCACTGAATTATCCTCCAGTCTGTAAAACAACAAAATCAACTTTTTTCTCTTGTGAAATTCTCTCTTGAGTCTTCTGAGAGTTTGGGGTTTGTTTGGTTGAACAGAATTGGAGGAAAATTAAATAGAGAGAAGGAAGTTGTTGAAGGCAAAAGCAGCTCACTAATGCTGCAAAATTGGCAGCTGAATATATAAAATATTTCCTTAATTGAGCATCATCTCAATTTGAATAATCCTGTCCTTCACTCAATTCTCTTCCAGGCAGGAGAAAAACCAAAATCAACTTTTCTCTCTTGAGCCTCCTGAGAATTTGGGATTTGTTTGGTTGAACAGAGTCGGAAGAAAAGGGAATAAAGAGAAGGAAGTGGCTGAAGGCAAGAGTTGCTCAATAATGCAGCAAAGTTGGCAACTGAATATATCAAATATTTCCTTAATTGAGCATCATCTCTTTGTCCTTCACTGAATTCTCCTCCAATCCGGAGAAACTGCAAAATAATTTTTCCTCTCCTGCCTCTTCTCTATCAGAGAGCCCTAAAAACAACCCAAAAATAATAAAAATTCACGCACTGCTTGTACTGGACATCAAACACGGTGCCAGGGGGAATCTCTGCCTCYGTCTCCCAGGTCAGGATGTTCTCAAAGTTGGTGGAGGAAAACGCTGCACGTTTCACACATGATGGTCTCTCTGTAGTCACAAACCCTGAAGGAGAGGAGAAATTGGTATTGAAAAGCGTTTTTCTGACAATTCAGCCCTCAAATTTCACGATTTCTGTGAAATTTTMGTAAAACTGAAAAGCAGGAGCTTGAGAAGAATTCAAACCTGATCACATCACACACCTTGTGAGACAATTGACTCATCCCAAAGAAATGCAAGTCAGGAATTTGTACAGAAAAAACCTCAAAAACTCGAGTCAGAAAGAGAATCTTTGAATTCCTGATGATTTTTTTTAAAGAGCAGTTAAATGGGTGGTAAAATAAGATTATTAAGGTGTTTTCAAGCCCAGAATCATGCCTGTGAATGTCTCTGCTTTCTGTCCCTGCTCGAGGAAGTGACAGTGGCACCTCCCTGAAGATGTTGGTGCCGTTCCTCTCGTGTTCTGTGGGTTATGGGATGGAAATTGTGCTCACAGAGCGACGCTGATGTGTGGATTGTGGACTCTGATCTGGGTGTGCCTGGCTGAGAGCAAACAACTCACCCAGCACCTGCTTTCCTCTCCTCCTTCTGGGGAGGAAGGAAAATTTYAATTTCACCTGAAAATGTCCCTGGAAAACAGGAACCACCACAAATCTCCTGCAGCAAACTGGCTCTGAGCTGCTGCTGAAAAACCCTCGAGGATTTTTATCTCTCTGTTATCACGAGGAAAATTTTCTCACGAGAGTTTCTCGCTTCAGGATTGATAAAATCTGTAAATTCAGGTTATAGATAGACCCTCAAAGGTAGATTTTGGTTTGTGGTGTTGATAAACCCATGGAGCACGTGAGGGATTCGGCCTGAACTTTGAGATTTGTGAAAAAAAAAAAATGGAATGAGCAAATGAAATGGGCAAACTGAGCACTGGGATGGGGGTGATTTGGAGAAAATCATGTTGTTCAGGGATGGAAATTCAGCTGGATCCTCACTCCAAGGGTTCCCCGTGGAGCAGAACTGAGTGTCAGAGGTTGGAGGATGAAGCAGAAAGGTACAGATCCCCTCTCAGCCCGGTGGGTGATATTTGGGGAGGGAGGAGGTGCAGAAATGAGCTGCAGCTCCTCCAGATTTTGTCCCTGCTCACTCACAGCAGCAGYGTGGGTGTGAACGGGGTGTCATTCCCTGTCTGAGCACCCCAAAAACCCCATCAACACCCTGATTTTATCAGGRGGAGGAAATCTCTGCCTTCCCACATCGATCCGTGCCACAACACTCTTATGCAAAGCAGGATAACACACAAGCACGGTCAGGTGTGGGCAGGGGAAAACCAGGATAACTGGGAAATATCCAAATGTGCAATCCCAGACTGGAGCAATGAGTGACAGGATGGAAATGCCTGGTGTTTGGAAAGAGCAAATTTATCCTTCATTCACACAGCAAGGAGCCTGACACATCTGGATAGGGTTAAATGGCTTTTAAAGGGTAGATCTGGGTTGGATAAAAGGGAGAAATTGTTCCCTGGGAGGGTGTCCAAAAAAAGCTCTGGTGCCCCTGGATCCCTGGAATTGTCCAAAGCCAGGCTGGACATTGGGGTTTGGGGCACCCTGGGGTGGGGGAAGGTGTCCCTGCCATGGCAGGGGGTGGGACAGGATGAATTTTAAGGTTCCTTCCCACCCAAACCATTCTGTGACACTCGCACATTTTAACATTATTATTTGTTTGTACCTCTTTTAAAATCACTTCTGTTCTTGTGTTTGTTTGTGTCTCTGCTCAAGACACAAGGAGACTGATCCAAACTCCTGAAATCAGTGAATATCCTTTACCCCAGGAGGATTTGGGGTGTAACACTGCGATAAACCCTTTGAAGGGAAGGAATCCCTTCATTTCCCCATTAATCCTTCAATGCTGAACATCCCAGCCCCACYTGGGAATTGTCACAAGGAAAAATCACACACCAGTCCATTCTCCAGTTCATTCCCACTCTCCAGGTGTTAATTCAGCAATCAGGACTGAATTCAAGACCCCCAGAATCAAACCCAAACCCCACAAATCAGCGATAAGAGGAAAKCTCCGCACTTACCGAGCGCCGAAACCGCAGCCAGGACGATCAGCAGCAGCTTCATGAAGAATTGTCRGGCTGGGCTGGCGGAACAGCAGAGCTCCTGGCTGCAGGTGAATCACTATTTTTTTACGAGATATGAATTGTTTCTTGCCGGGCCAGGTTGGATTTGTTGCTCAGAAACAGAAAAGAATCGGAGATCGGAGGTGACGGTTGCGCATTTGTGACCCGCGGTGACATCGGGAACACCTGAATTYGCAAAGGTGCACCAGCAGAGCTGAGAAAATCCCCAGCTCCTAAAAAAAAACCAGCCAAATACCTTTCTGCTGAGAGCTTCCTGCCTGAAAACCCTCCCTGAGAGGTTCCTGAGGTTTGAGGTTTGTTTTTCTGCTCGGGTAATTTGAGCTCGGTGCAGCTCTGGATGTTCAAACTCGGCGCTGTGCTCTTTAATTCCTGCTGCAAACMATGCCTTAAAAATATTCCTGAATTCTTGCTTAAAATGAATTTGATTTCATCTCAGAATGAAAGTCAGCCAGATCGCTGGGTTTTGTGCTTTTCTGTTGGTTTTTTTTGGATAGGAACCAAATGATCAGCAGTGCCCTCAGCTCTGCCCTGACTTTGCTCTCACCTGATGTAGGAAGGAGGTACAAAGGTTTTTCCACAATAGGGGCGTGTCCTGCCCCACCTTTTTTTTTTTATTATTTTTTTTTTTTTGGTAGCCCTACAATGTTTATTTTTGTGGCTGTTTACAGAGTAAAGTTCTGCTTTGGATATCCTGAATCCACACGGTAAAAACTGCGAGTTTGTCACACAATCCCTTTTCCATAATATGTTCATTTTTTTTTTAGTTTGTCACACAAAACACGAGCCCCGTGTGCTCCTGAAGCTGAATTCGCACTGATTTCRCTGTTCTTTGTGGCCAAACA